GATACTTGAAATTTTAATCTATCGTGTTTTAATTATATTATATTCTTTTTAAATTTTTCTAACTCTTTTTTAGTTATTTATAGATATGATAAATAATTTATTTTTTTTTAATGCAGATAAAAATTATTCACTAGATCAAAGTTCTTGAAAATGTAATAAATGATACCTACTTCGTTAGTTTTTTTTTACTTTAATTATAAATTATATTAAAACCTATTTTATAAGCGATTTAAGTTCAGATATTTTAGATCTCAAAACTATAATTTAATTAACTGTTTATATATTTGTTTTTTATCTATTTATTTTCTTTTTGTCCATTAACATGTATTTTAAATAAGAGATTATTAGATGTAAATCATACAAATGTAAGGCTAATAGCCTTATAAGTCAAAGGAGAAATTTTTATTTACAAGATCTATAAAAAAAAAAATAATAATGCATGACTGAAATACACTAAATGAGAAAGACTGACCGTCTCCGCTAAGTAATCACTATATTTTTTTAATATTGTATATTGTATAATTGAATTCAAGTAGAATAGACCTATAACAGTGACAACTCGAGAACTAATATACAGCACAGCGGTACCCACTTGCCTACCTTTTATTTTTAATATGAAGACGTACAGCAATATAATAAAATGGTAATTTTCTTTTGTGGTATTTATTACAACTCACGTGTCTTTAAAGTTAGAAATTATTTAAAAATACTTCACGGTTCTGTTAAGCATAGCGCAAAATTATCGTAAATTCTTAAATTTTTTCGAACCTTCGAAGTGTTGTATAGATTTTGTACTATGATAACAATGATAACATACACCAACTGGCAACTACTAAAAAATCAAAACCGTAAAATGAATTTTGTGTTTACATTCCTAACATGAATGCATTTACCTTAATGTTGGTCACACTAATATGCCTTCAAACATTGGTTAGCATGCCAATCGATTTAGGGTTACTGGTAAGTGTTTAATGTTCATATGAAATTGCGGTATATTGGTATAAGTCAACGGCGCAGGGTTGTACTTTTTTGTTAGTTTTTACATCGATGTTACATCCACATTTTGAGGTTTGGAATTCTGTTCTTTCTTTAAAAAGTCCATGTTTTAAAGACTCATCAATTTAAAGTAAATTGTGTGTGGTTTTTCAAGTAAGTAATCCTTTAATTTTTTTTAACATAACATTTAGAATTATGTTGTAAACTTTTTTCGATTTAGTATTATATAACCTCAAAAGAAAAAAATACTTTCAATACCTAGGTTTTGTTGAACGATAGGTAATAATTCTTCATTTTACAAAATTATAGCAACTTCAAGATGGTGAACTTGTTCGTACGTGGTCAAAATGTCCATTCTTTGGAATGTCAAGGATTTGAGAACATTTCCCAAATCAAGGTAAATATTTTGTGTTGAATAATGCTTGAAAATCTGATTATCTTGTCATGTGTTAAGACTTTATGACCAAGTTTTATACTAAACCATTAATTTGCTTTTAATGTGTTCATTTTTTTTTCTTCAATATTTAGTGCACTACATTAAATAATTAAACACACATTGTGGAGTACCACTTAGTTCTTAAAAATCAAGACATTTTCCACCCATATGTATATGTTATGTACATTGCCCGGACATTTTGGTACTGTCTAATTATGATGAGCAATGTAGGAAAAATTATACTTTGCACCCGAACTGTATAGAATTGCCCAGTCTAAGTTAGTTAATGTAAATCAATTCGCTTGAATTATTAAATTTACAAGAGACTGTTCTTTCAGCTGTTATTTTATTTATTCTATTATCTATTTTTCCTTCAATCAATGTTTTTATTTCCAATATTCATACATGTTATATCTGCTTCTAAATCTTCTATTTTTAATTTATTAATTATTGATATTAGATGTTCAATCATGATGTAAATTCATCGTTTAATCTAATTTTTGCACTACATCTAGACATTACTTCTATACTCGCATACCAATTTCATAATAAAATATAAATATAAAAGTTTGTATATAACTCCAAAAATATAAAATGTACTAAATTGGCTGTTACCTATTCTCCTCGCTATATCTACTCTTTCTCAACTGTTTTATACATTAAAAAAAAAAATGTATTCAAATGGAAAGTTTTGTTTATAGCTTAAGTTATAATGCCCAATTTAGTTCGAGCAAAGTAACTTGAACTGGTCAAAGTTCAACTCCGCATGTCAAAAATAGTATTATTAATACATCACCCAAAAACACTGGGCAAAGTATATATTGCCTGATAGTCTACTTTGCCTGTAACATATTATATATTATGGATTTGAGGTATACCATGTATATTATTATTTGCAATATAATAAAATAAACACAAATAAATTTCAGGTTTATTTTTATTATTATATTATATTTTTTTCAATTGAGTCATTAATATAATAATGTTTATCTTTAAGTTATTAGTGTAGATTCCAACTACACAATAGTGCAATGGTCTTAAAGAAAATTACAACAAATTATTTTTTTTATTATAAACCGTAAAAATAATATATCTAATTTTATTTTTGTTCAAACAAATAGAACCGATTGGCTAATTTGGAAAATGTTGAAGAAAATTTAATCTCTTTGTATAATCAAGGTCAACCACTTAATGACAATCAAATTGTTGGAGAATTAAACAACTTCAACATTGATTTAATTGTTCCATTACTTGGAGGTAAATAGTTTTACTTTAATTTTACTTATAAAATGTTGACTGATAAATTTAATTTGTTAATTTAGGCAAAGTTCACGGATCCTTAGCTCGTGCTGGAAAAGTTAAGGGACAAACTCCAAAAGTTGAGAAAGTTGAAAAAAAGAAGAAGAAGAAAACTGGACGATCAAAGAGACGCATTCAGTACAACAGACGTTTTGTAAATGTTGTTCAGACTTTCGGACGCAGAAGAGGGCCAAATGCCAACTCTTAAATTGTTTTGCTTTTTAATCATTTAAAATAAACAATGTGGTGAAATTTTGGGAATTTTTTTATTTTTAATGATTGTAGTTTTTGTATTCATGTTTAGAAAAAAATTCAAGAACACTTATTAATATAATGAAAATAGGTGTCTAATCGATACTTATGTACCTCTCTGAATAATGAATACAGAAAGACCTCAAGTTTAAAAGACAGATAACTTGAACAAGATCTATTTAACCTAATTTTACTCAATATTGATATCTTTTCAATGGATTACATAACTGCATATAACTCAATGGACTGATAATTACTTATGTTGCCATATTTAGAGCAATATGTGTGTTAAATTAAAAACCAAACCATTTAAATATTGTACCGTATCTATCGCCTTCAACTTTTTTTTATGAAATAACATAACTTTAAATCAACTCTGATTTATCTGAATTAAATTTTTGTCTTTAGGATAAGTTAAGTAAATTTATGAGTTTATATCTTGACAACTATAAATTCATAATTCCAGTTACTTCAACAAATTATTCTACATAATGGAATATTAATAGAAGATTTTTGTGGTAGATGAACTTGTTCAGTGTAGTACTAATTAATAATAAAGTAAATATAAAAATATATTATTTATTTTCATCTTCAAAAATTATAATAATTTACAAATTATAAATTTTTAAATGCAATAAATATTTTTAATATTTATTAAAAACTTCAACGAAGTATACTATGGGGTTAAATTGATCACCATGCTTCAATAACATGTTTATATTCAAGGTCAGATCTAGTTTTATTCATTTTCAAAATATTTTATATTGAAATATGACTGAACACAACGGGATCAACAAGATTATTTTGATCAATCATATTATATAACTTTGATTTTTTAAACGTTTGTATGGTTTCCACTTACCTAACATTATCATTGTTCCAGGAACTACTATTCTCAATATTATTTTAATAAGTTTATTCTTATTTCAAAATTAGACTTATGAATATATGATGGATATCAAATAATTGTGAATCTCCAACTACACTTAGTACAGTATGGTAGGGTTAGTCACCTGTTACATAAATGCTTAAATTCATAAGTGGAACAGATCCTTTCCCAATAAACAAATTTTGTATTGTTAATCACATTTACATCTCATAAGTGATGCAATAATTATATTTTACAATAACATGTTTATATTTTTATTTCGTAAGACATTTACTATAGTAAAGTGAATACATTGATTATCAACTTTGTGGGAGCAAATTGGTTATAGTTTGAATTTCAAGGGGTTAAATGAAATATATATTTTTTTTAAATGAATACTTATTAAAATAAGTTTAAGAAACCTTAGTCGGTAAAAGTTACAGTAATGCAACTTCAATCAGAATTTTTATTCATTCTATACAATGATTTATAATAGAATTAAAATAATTCATTTCATAATTAGGTATAGTAGAGTAGTTATTTATCTACTTAGAAGATTTTTTAAAATAAAATTCTTTAATAAGAACTAGTATAGCAGTTAAAAACTGTTCATATTTGGAAATATAAAATATGAATAGTTAGTTTCGTATTATATATTATTTTATATTTATTATTAAATTGAGAAAACATGAACATATTTATTAGGTAATCTTATATAATTGTAATAAATAGTGTATTTGTTTGCAACCATTGCCTGTCATGATTATGCTTAATGAGCATTATTTATATATTATTTGGATCAGGAAATTCATTAGTGTTAGCAGTTATATATTAATATTATTAAATTCAATTTTTCCACACCTGTCTTGTATTACAGTCAAGCGTTTATTGCAAGTGACAATTTAAGTTCATAAGTTAATTTTTATATTTTATATTCTATGCTGCATAATTATTTATTATTATGTGGTACCTAAAGTTAATATAATCATATCGTGGTTAATATTATGGCGTTACTTTTATTTAGTCATATTTAAGTACTTTGGGTAATTCACACATACGAGATTTTTATAATACAGCTAAAAGATTCATAGGTATAAAATCAACAATTTATTTAAAAAAATGTATTTGATACAAATATGTTATATTTTAAATTGTCAAACATTATAATTTAAATATTAACCGTTGATACAAATTAGTATTTAATTAGAATCATCACTACTTGAATAATTGCCAATTAATGATAATGAATTACAAGATTCTTTTGTTTTATTAGTATTTATGATATTATTAATACTTGTGACATTATTAGTACTAGAGACATTATTAGTACTTGTCACATTATTAACTTTAACTAAGTTTAAAAGATTGAGTTTAGAGACCTTTTTCTTTGCACTAGATTGTGCTGTTGAAGTGATTACGTTTTTTATTATACTTTTGGTCATATTATTATCTTCTACTAATTCTTCATCTTCATTTTCATCAATCTTACGCTTAATACCCATTAAACTTTTTACTGTATTTTCATCTTCTTCTTCTTGCATCCGTTTAATTTGCTCCTTCAATTCTGCAGGGTTATACTTTAATAACATTGAATCATAATCCACATTACCTTGACGTCTATTTAAATCTCTTAGCTCTTCAAGGGATTCCATTAATTCAATTTCTTGTTTAGATTGCTGAGTACGATTTTCCAATAACTTCATCGGGTTAGTAGCTTCTTCTTCCTTTTCAGCATCTTCTTCTCTCTTTTCTTGTTCTTGTGCAAGTTTTAGAGCCATGAAATTTCGTGTAGCTCCTTCTTCTATTTCATAATCCGTGTTACGTGGGTCAGTTTTAAAAGATATTTCTTGTAGACATCTTGTGCATTTTATGTAAAAACGATAAATACGTATACCCAAATAATCTTCATTTTCAGCATCTTCTTTACGTGCATTAAATTTTTTTCCTTTATAAATATATTCACCACATGTTTTACATCTCATGTTAAATGGTGCCATAAGACGAACAGTATATTGTCGATTTTTAGGAAGTTTCATCCGTGGAATTTTTGAAGGATCAAAATCAGGTGGATAGTATTTATTTAATACTTTTCTTTCAGACATATTAACTACCTGTAATATAAAAAAAAGTTTATTTAATATTTATAATTGTAAACAAATTAAAAATAGTTCTCCAAATAGTTGTGTAGTTTTATCTATACGACTATACATTATAAATCACAAATACAAATAATTTCTTAATAATTCAGATATTGATACCAAGAAATAAAACCTTAGTCTAAAATAGAAATAATATTTTATTTGGATGCAATAATACTAGACTTTAATTTGAAAAGAAAATTTTATGTTTACATTAAACATTTTAACAGAATTTAAGACCTAAAAGCAACTTGTTATTTGGCTGGATGAATTACTTTCTATTAATATACTTTTTTTTTTTACTTATAGACCCTTTTAGTAATCATACATTAGCTTTATTGCAGAGTATTACACCATTAATCGTATTTCAGTATATTCTATCACTATGGCGTAATATACATTAAAAAAATCAAATCATAATTTAATAATGACCAATTTACAAAACATGATTAGTTACAAAGTAATCGATATAAGTATATGACCATAGTATTATGAATATCAAACATTTAAACACTGATTTCATTTTTTTCTGTGAATGGTTTTAAAAATAAATTCTTAACCATATTTAATAACTTATGAACTTATTAAAAGGTGTGAAAAATATTAATTACCAGGGTGTGAAAATATATGTTTAATAGAAAGCATTAATTAATTGAAATAATTTTTTACTTTAGTATGTTATACAAAGGGCTTAATTTTTAACCTTAACATAACTACTTACCGAATATTAGATGTGTCAAAAATAATAAAACTGGAGACGGCTACAATCCAACTTTGTACCAAAGACTGAAATGGAAATGGATCTAGTTCGGTTAAACTATAGTCACAAATTAAATTAAAATTAATAACAAATAAAACATAAATATGATTATTTTAAAAGTAATTATTAAATATATCCTATAAACATTCAAAATAAATAATTATACTTTTCTATTATAATTTATAATATTCGAATTACGAATTGTGATTCGTTATGATTATAAGTTATAATGAAAAATGATTTCTACATTGATTGGTGACTACAATACCTAAATCCATTGATGATTTTATAATTATTAATTTATTAATTATTGATGGCACCAAAATTTTATGATTTTTGACTTTTATCTAAAATCTAAATCATGATAATATGCTAGCGTCACTTATCTGTTGCCAACATAAATCATTTGTTCATCATGGTTCACAGTATAAATTAAATAGAAATCGTTGCGTTATCAACACAAACATAATAAAAAAAAAAATAACAATAACATTGTTATTATTATTAAATAAGTATTATACATTTAATATTTTAATATTTATGCTGTAAACAGTGTAAACTGTAAACAGCATTGTATATCTAATATCTATAAGATCATTAAGATCGTGTTTGATGAGCAATTACTAATTTGTCAATTTTATTATGTTTTTATTGTTTTTTAATTTCATCACAAAAGAGCATTTTTAACTTGTAATATATCCGTGTGATTACCATGAATTGAGACATACTGAATTATACATTTATATCTTAATTCATGGTTAGAGCAGTTATTATTTTTTTACTTACCAACGGTTGTTCAAATAGCCAGCTTTATAAATTATAATATTTTAAAACTCCAGTTGATCACATTACATTCCAAACAAAATGAATGACGGTAAATAATTATAGTATTCAGATATTGTAGGAGTTTTCTTCACTGTGAACCATGTTATTTATTTGTTTTTTTGCATGCACCAAATTTACTTTTTGTTCAACATATTTGAACAGATTGTAAAAAATAAAAGTAAATATTGATTATAACCAACATGTATTTTAATGTTTTCAATTCTGATCACTAAATTAGTATTTAATAACATAGATCTTAAATATTATAAATATATTAAGTATATCAATGGTAATATTTTTACTTTAAATGGTTTATTTTTATATTGTTAGGAAAATACTCAAAATAGTAAAACTTCTGTAAAAATAATAAATATATTTATTTTTTTTTTATAGAAGAAGTAATTTGGCGTAAGTTGCTCATTGATGGTGATGGAATAGGCGATGATAGGCGTTTAAATGTTTTACTAAAAACATATTTAAAATGGTGCAATACAAAATACACAGATCCTCTTGAAAGGTACACACTATATAACTTATAAATGTATTTTGATTCAATAGGCAATTTTATATACTGTGAAATTAATTTTATTTAGTATAACAATATGATTATTAGTTGTCATTAAAATTAAACTTGAATATTATATTAGTCTTAGAGCTCAATTTATTTTTAAATATTATTTGTATTTTTAGTCAAAAAGCTATGGAAAAGATGTTAGTTCATCTTAATTTATGTGAGCATGCAATGAAGAAATCCCAAGCTGTTTCACGTATGAATGTAGAAGAAATGCTAATGTATGACAACATGTCTAATGAAATTGATCATAATATAACAAATACAAAAACTGAGATAGATCGCGCAAAAGAAGAATTAAAAAAAGCCAAAACCATTAGACGAAATCGCATGGAGTATGATGTCTTAGCCAAGCTCATTATTCAACATCCTCCTAGGACTGAAACTGCTAAACGTCTTGATGATTTAAAAGATGAACTTCAAGCATTAAAAGTATTTTCATAAATAATTTTATTATTAATAATATTGTATTAATGTTCCAAATAATAATATTATTTCAGATGACTAAAAATGAAATAAATCAAAAACTAGATAAGAGACGAAAACAACTGCATGTACTTATGTCTGCATTAAATGACTTAACAGATAGTTTAGATGATAGTGGTTCGATGAGTGAAGATATGTCATATGAGACATTTGACGATGAAGATCTTGATATCTTAACAAGAAAAGACGATGTTGAGGAACCAATGTCTGATTAATCACGAAATAAAAACTATAAATGCCTAATAAAATGTTTTATATTAGTATCATGAATAAACAATAGGAACAAACATTTATAATTTAATACACTGTTCAATAGTTATTTATTTTAAATAATTAATTGTGCGATTTATTTCATATATTTGTTAACTTTACATTATAAACAGATAACTGATTATACATACATTTTTATTTATTGCTTTAACAATAAAACAAAATTAAACTAACTACGACATATTTCCAGACTCATTTCATTGCGCAAAAAATTTATAGTTTCGTGAATGACAGCTTGTTTTATTGATTGACTTGTGGTTAATAAGAGCATCAATTTGACTGCATCACTTATATCGATTGATGATACTACATTTTGAATGGTATCAAACAATTTTTTTTGTTTTTCATAGTCCATTTCGTGTATAATTTGTAGAAAAGATTTAAAATCATTAGTCATTGAACACGCAGCTACAGTACCCATTACTCCACCTGAAATCACAATCATTAATATTATAAGTAAAAAAAATAGACACAAGATTTACACATAACTAAATAATACTGTAATTAACAGCCATCAGTAGTTTTATTTTATTAAATGAATTTTTTCTTTTACTAATTTAATTTCACGACATAAATAGTTTTTAGAAATTCAACAATAAGTAAATTATTGGAAGTTCAGAGGAAAATTGCTTAAATAATATTAGAATCATTTAGTTTTTTAATAAAAATAAAATACCACGGACATTAATAAAAACATTAACAATAAGAATATGGTATGATAAAAAATATAATTATTAATTTTACTTCTCAATGACAAAAAAAGTAAAAATAAAGGGTTAAATGTTTCAGTATTTTACAAATCATTTGTTTATTTTCATATATATAAGAAATATACAATTAAGCACAATAAGTTAATGTTTGAAGATTTATAATATTAAAAATATATTATTCAATATCAAAAAATAAAAATACCAAAAGTTAAAATAAAATTTAATGTTCTTCATACGTAACTAGTAATTTGAATAAATTATATTTATTAATATTTTTACAATACCAGCTATTAAACCACTCTTGCCACCAAGTAATCCACCAACGAGAGCTGCAATGCCTGTTATAAGACCACCTTTAACAGATTCCTTAACTGTGATTTTTAAATTTTCTTCCTGGAAAATTTCACCAACAACTTCTAATGATTTTATCACATTTTTAGGAGTAACCGATGACATTTTCTTGATTATTTATGATTAATAATTACTGATGGAAATTAAATCTATAAACATAAAAATTTAACTGATTAAGAATATATGCCTTCGATTTATTCGTCATTCGATAAACATCAAGGATCAAAATAACTAAAAAGTATCGTGGACCAATGTCCAACGTCCAACTACTCCAACTATTTTCTCGATCGTGATCATCTGATTTTAAAAACAAAACAATATTGATAAGCATCAGTGTTGCAAGTTAAACAATTGTAAAAACTATAGATAATATTAACAAGAATTTAATAAGACGTAATTTTAAAAAAAATTCGTAAATTAGCTTAAAAACACATAAGCAAATATCTGAAATTCTGAACTGAATTTAAATTAGAATAAATAAGAATAAAACCTATTCTTAGGAATCATTAGACATTATCCAAGGTCATTTATGAAACTTGGGTTGAGTTTTAGTGCCTTACTCCTATAATTATTTGGAGTACATTACTCAGAAATTTTTGGGGTAAATCCGTATTCATAATAATGGAAATCAGCAATCTATTGGTAAATCAATATTGGCAATCATTTTGTTTACTCGCTTCGTTAACAATATTTTTACCCTCGTAATGATTCTCATAGTAGAAGTTAATACTTGGAAATATGAAAATAGATCAACACCGTGTATAATTAATAATTATGCTGTTATAAAAACAAGGTGACTATGGTTAGCATAAATAGAAAAATCGAGGGAGATTCGGGAGCAGTTGAAAATGATGCATACGATTCATACGAAGCTTGTGTACTCAATATGATTGATTGTTTAGTAATGTTAGTCAAAAATATAAGTATTACTTGTTTTGTATACTTTATTATACCATACTTCAATTTCACGTGCTGAAGCGCACAAGTAGGTAGGTAACCCCACAAAAATGAAAAAAAAAAATTGAAGAAATATGAAAGGCACCGAAAAATAGACCACAGATTTATCGGATAGTCGTTGACTAACTTCAGGCACGTATTGAATATTGATTATTCACGGCAAAAGTAACATTGGTTCACGTCATATGAATACAGAATTACTGCATTCGAATGCGATGCATGGCGAGCCAAATTGTGTGGGTATTTAACCGATAAAATGTATCAGGGGACTAATATTCGCACCCAAAGTTAAAAATCAATAATAAGGTTCCAACTTCCAAGAATTAAGAAAGGTAAGTAAATTATTGTGTGAAACTAGCAACTTTTATATGTATAAAATAGACAATTAGATATGGTGAACCTGACCCAGACATGACGTATTTTTCAATTATTCATAACTTATTGATCAATACAAGTAATAATTTTAAACGATTTTTCTTAAAATTGAATATTCTTTCAAATTAAAAAAAATTATTGTTTATGAACCTAATCTTGTGCTTCTATATTTTTTCTTAAATTTTATATATTCAAATAAAATAATTGTAAATCAATTATTACAGAAATTATTTATAAAGGAATAAACTAATAGGAGGAATGTATGTATACTCAGATGTGATATTGGATAAAATATTATTTTATGTTTTGATCATAGTTATAGCCACTAACCAGTAAAATCACAGTAATGAGTAATGACTACCTATTGAGCAATGACATTAATAAGTAGGTAGTACTCAAGTGATGTTTCAATTTAATAAAGAAAGAACACACTAAAGAATATATCAATAACTACTTACTGCATTAGTGCATTCTAACTTATTTCAAATTTCTTACCTACAATTTTAAGATTACAAAATATTATTAAAAAGATACAAATAATAAATTTACTATTTACCTAATTATTGTCCTAATTACATGTATATTTTTGAGTAGACGACTTTCTTAATACAATTTAAAAATCATACATATAAACATACATAACACCTTAACAAACGATTGAAAATATTATGAATATAGATAATTCTTGCACGAAACATAATATTTAAATGTTTTTTTAACTAGATAAATAAAGTGAACGTATAGTGAAGAACAACCAATATGTTAAAACAAGACACATATAATATGACATATCAGTGATGAACATAAAACCAGTGTAATGTTTAAAAACAATTTTTTTTTTGTGTCGAGATTCCATGATTCCATAGAACTATTGTAAGTCATTTTGGAGACTGATCATTTCGAATACGAACTTAATATTAATTGTAGGTAATATAATTATAATTTTTATAGGTATTTAAAGTTAGAATTTTGATGAAATTCATAAAATATCGAAAATCTGTAATTTTTTTTTTTTATATTTGAAATTCAAATTTGTATACAATTATATATCGAAACGATAAAGAACAACTACATTATTCATTTTATAAGGGTATAATTCTAAAAAATTCTCAAGAATTTAAAACTGATACATAATGATATTTTCAAAACATGTAATTCCATTTAAAACTATTATACCTATTATTTTCACTGTTCCACATTAAGGCGGTTTTGATTCAAAACTTAATAATAATTATATATTTATATATTATTATAGTGATTAATTATTAATTGCAATGATATTGGAAAAAAATTATTTAAACTTAATTCTAATAGTAAAATAAAATACTTTAATAACAATATTAAAAAACATATTATTAAATTAATTTAGCGATAAAGACTTCAACCGTCTTCACTAAAATTTTTTTTGTTTACAATGACGGTATCAATAAATTTAAATTTAACACATTCAATACAATATAGCTTACTAGTTACTTGTTTATATATATATTATTATTATTATATATTATTATTGTTTATATTTTAGTTGATTTCAAATGTACAGGCGTACAGCAGTTCAGCAGTAGTAGGACAATACCCGCTTTACACTTACGACTTGTTCACCTTTTTATGATTGTTTTATTGCAACTCATGCAATTTCATAGATTAATTCGAGATGTATTTAGAATTTACTAATTTATGTAGACGTAGGTACTATCTACTATTTAGTCTAAACGTTATTGTAACGGGAAATAAATTTGTTTTGTCAATAGATAATACCTCGAGATATGTATAATTACTATAATTGTATTGGTTTATAGTACAACAATAGCTACTAATAAACAATATAAATTATACGTTAATAGTTAAGTATAACAGTATTCAGTAATAATATAATAACGTCATATAGTCGGCATAGTCCATACTTCATAGTATTTTATGAATTGTGTCTCGATAATTGTATTTGATATGAATAATTCAAATGTATTAATTTTTGGACTTGGATTAACTGGATTAATGGTGGTTAAATTAATCGAGTGACTTCAAAAAATTCTTTGAAGATCTTGATTTGTTTGTACTCGTGTGGGTACTACTTCTAACAGTTCTAACTGTAATGCTACTATAGCAGTAGAGCACTAGCCAGTGGCCACTAATGTCTAATACTGTACATAGTGTACAGCCTACAGATAAAAGAAGTTCAGTGGCAAAATATATTACCCATTCTATTCTATTAACAACCATCTCTTTTTTATGATAGCAGCTGATCGACTAATTAATATTATTTTGGAGGGCAAATGTTCAACAGGTACGCACGTTTACTAATGATAATAGAATCCGTTTATACTTTTATAATTTATTGTTTATTTCTGTACATATTATTAATTAGATTTCCGGGTAGCAAGTGTTGCAATAGGACAAAAATTGTGTGTGCCAAATGCCAATTTCGTTGTGACTTCCGCAGGATAAACTGCGACGGAAAAACTTTATTTAACTGTTATAAATAAGTTTTTTATGATCTTAGTAAATATAATAAAACAAGTATGTCATCGACGAAAAGACTACTGCAAGCTCTGATTATGGGTGCCCCAGGTTCTGGAAAAGGAACTGTGTCTGAACGTATAGTCCGATCGTTCGACATGCTACACGTATCCAGTGGTGATATTCTACGGAAAATGATACGGGAGAAGACTGACATTGGCATTCAAGTCAACAAGTAAGCCATCAGGTAGTATCCATAGTAGGTATTATAGAAATAAAAAAGTGCTATGTACACTTATTATTTATTTATATGACCTAATATAATTAGGCACTGTTGCCAAATTATTTATAATAATTTATTATATTTATAATTTTATAGTTCTGTACATAAATAATTTTTAATCTTTTTATTTAAAAAATAATGAACTTTTATTTGCTACACAAATCAAATATTTATATAATTTTCACATCAGTTTCTTAAATAATTAGTGTTAAATTTAGGTATATAATATGTATGACTGGTATAAATGGGTGTAATTTTATAGTTTAAGATAGTAGTAATGAGGGACTAGAGAGTGATTTGTCAATACTGTCATCAACTAGTAACTGAGAGTGAGAATAGTTAAATTACCATTATATATTTATACATGTATAGAAGGAAATGTGAATGCTCAGACTGCTAATGTCTTGCACATATGTATACTTTAGATCACAGTATGCATTTGTCATAATATTAGTTTTTATTATTTCCCAGATTTGTGTCTAATGGTCAACTTGTACCTGACGAACTGATGTTGAAAACTATTGGAAATGAGTTGAACCGTCTATCGTCCACTGATCGCAGCTGGCTGTTGGATGGCTTCCCCAGAACCAAACCACAAGCATTGAGCCTATTCAAAATAGCACCTGTCCAAGTAGTTATTAGCCTTGATGTACCCTTTGATATCATCATCAATAGAGTAAAAGGTCAGTTACTTATTAAAATGTTAATTGAACAATTAACACCAATGCAATCAATTATATACAGGTAGATGGATACATGCGCCAAGTGGACGAGTCTACAACACAGATTTTAATGCACCTAAGGTACCCGGTCATGATGATATAACTGGTGAACCATTGATGCAACGCGAAGATGATAAACCAGAATCTGTTAAGAAACGTTTAGAAATATATTCTGAGATGGCTGGTCCTATTTTAGAATACTATGCTGAGCAAAATATTTTAGCGAAATTCTCAGGAAAAACTACCAATGAAATTTGGCCTCAAGTTTACAAATACTTGGCTACCAAAATTGAACCTAAGGAAAAACTTACATAAGATTTGTAGGTATAATTGTTTCAGCAAATATTTTAATTGTTGCTCTAATTTTATTGATAAATTGTTTATATAATCAAAAACTTATATATTTTATTTATTATACACTACTGTTCTTACTTGATACTTATTTGGTGCTATACAAAGAAATATAAAATATACAAATTATATTATTTTTGGTGTCTTATAATTTTGTTTTTACTTAAAATATAATTATCGAAGTCTTTCATAGGTCCTGAATTTCATGTGAAAACAAAGAGTAATAATGTTTAAAAAACACCTTAAGCAATTATTGGCATCACTCAGGACCATGAATAAGGATCAGTATTATTATTATTTTATGATTATTAAGTAATATAGGCAACCTAATAACCAGAATTACCCATAAGACCATAGAAATGCCTTCAATAATAATTTTTTTGAAGATCATTTTTGTTTTTTGTTGGTCTGTACTCTGCAGTAGTAAAAATGTAAAATATCAATTAAATCGTCGACAATATATCTGAAAGTTGTTAAGAAATCTAATGTCTCTACAACGACTGTAGCTTTTTAGTTATTTCGATTACGCAGATGACAGTGAAGATCGACCGTGTTAGCTGCTGATTGCGAGGTTAGGACTTTAGGAACTATGCTGTAGCTGTAGCAGTACAGCACATACATATTTCTATCTTTTAACACTAGCTATTTTTATATACACGGTGTCGCCCGACCAACTGTTTTGTTTTCTTGTTTATATTTTTTGTTCCTGTAAAAATGTAAACTGTAAAGAAATACAACGCACACATTTTGGTCTTTCCAACAACCGGCATTAGTTTTTGTTTGTTTCTATTGGTTCAATACCGAGTGTATAGTTCCAGTCATCAAGAGTCTATCGTCTATAGACAGTACAAAATATAAAGATTTAAACCATAAATATTTTTATAGCACAAAAGTCAATAATACAACATTTGTATTTAAATTTTGCAATACCTTTATTAGAGTACAATAATTATGTTTATGTATATGACTATACACTAATGTTAATAATATATCCCCATGTATCATCATGTACATGTAGATTGTACACATTATACAACAGTCAACAACTATTAAAATTATTAAATATTAATCTAATCAGTGGTAATACAACGATAACAATATTATTCACGATTTAATAATGCATTCAGTGTAACCAATCACTAACCATGTGCCATGCCACCCCGCATTTCAATTACAATGATTGTAATAATGAAAAGTGTCTAAGTGTTATGTTTTTCGATGTTGTCATACTGTATTTCTATTTTTGTTTACTGCTATTATCACTTTATCTTGTATAATTAATTAGTAGATTACTTTTACTTTTTTATTTTTTTTTCTAGTTTTTCACAATAAGTAGTTTTAACTTTTAATTATTCTAGTATAAGATTGTTAGCAGATTTTTAAATGTATGTTTATTTTACTAAATGTAGTGCAATACTATTTAATTATATGCTGGGTCGCTTATACATTTATGTTTAGTTAATGATTAACTTTATATAGCAGGAATATGATCGTTTTACTTTAACAGATTGTTAGCATTTGTAATATTTCGAACTTATTTATGTTTAACCATGGAAATAACGTTAACAGAAAAAGAAGAATTCATGCAAGAACATTTAGTTGTTTGGGTAAGTCAGTTATTTAATGTTATTTTCAACGTTAACCACTATCTTACATTTGATCAATGTATTTTTTATTCAACTGATTATAGTTAATTACTAATTACATATAACATGTATTTAGTACTTTGCTCTCAAAAACTAATATTCTGTTTGTCAATGAAAATAATTTTTTACTAAAACTGATTTATGTTATATTATTTTTTTGAAATAATCCAACCTTGAACTTTATATTGTAAATATTTTGTATTGAACAAAAAGTTTTGTACTAACAGCCTATTGGGTTTTAATGATCTATAAGTTAGTCATATTTATGAATTGGGATAATTCAGTTTGATATGCAAATCCTGTAGCATTTTAAGTTATGTGAGCTGTATCAATATTAGGGCTGGAAACTTAAGTATTATAAAAAACACAAAACATAGGTACATGCTCTAAAAAAAAAAAAAAAAAAACAAGAAATAATTTCTAAAAAAGTATGTATTAAATACATAATTTAACAATTTTTTTAGTTGCAATCATGTTTAAACAAGCCAGAAAAATTAAGTGTATATGAGAATTTAATTGATGGAACATTGATTTATGAAGTATTACTTTTGATGTAAGTATCAGTTCTTATCAATGTATCATACTGATATTTATTTATAGTTATAAATGATAAATATTAAATAACATGTTTTGATGTTCCAGTGATCCTGAACCATTATATCATACCATTGTTTCTGGTCAAAATGATCCATCCATTAGAATTCAAAATTTAAATTGTATTCTGAAAAATATTAAAATGTTGTATGAAGTAAGTTATTTAATTTAATGTTTAAGTAACATAGTGCTGCTTACTTAACTCTAATTTATTGTAACTTTTCTAGGAAGAATTGGGACAGGTTATATTGACAATGCCGGATTGTTTACGTTTAGGACGGGAACCATATTCAAAGCATAGTTTTGAAGATATGAAATTATTATTGTTATTATTGCTTGGTTGTGCTGTTCAATGTCCAAATAAAGAATCATTTATTGAGCGTATTAAAACATTACCTATTGAATCTCAACACGCACTTGTACATTATATAAAACAAGTAATACATTTTAGTAGTTTGAACACTATTTATTAATTTATTAATATAATTATAACTAAATAATCTATAGATAACTGAAAGTCAACAAATTGTAATTACCCAAGAGAATGCAGAGCAATTAACAACTGATCTTTTGATTTCTCATATTCGGCAATTAGTTAAAGAACGTGATCAATATCTTCAGGTAACTAAAAAATATACTATAACATAATAAAAATAATTTAGGTATACATATAATATTAGCTATATATACTCTTAAAATGAAAAAAAAATTACTTACCTATTGATTAAGAAAGTGAATTCAGATTTCAGACATATACACAATGAGGAAATCTGGATGCAGTAATTAATGATTTGATGACAATTTTTCAGTAAATGAATATTTCATATTTTTGTTATACCTTTTCCAACTATCTTCATCCAATTTATAACCAATTTAATACCTTATATATTATCAACATTATAAATTATTTGAGTATAATAATTAAAATATTATTTCTTCTTCCTAACATAGTAGTATTCTATTCGTATTTTTTAAACTTTATATTACTTTATTGAAAATTAAAATTTTCTAGAGTATTATTGAATATTTTTTTTCCATTATACAATTCAAAACTGCAATTGTTTTTACAATAAATCAATGCCATTAAAATTTTATTTTTTTTTGTTTTATAAAATCTGCTGCTAACATGAATAACACTAATTTTTAACATACACGATTATGTATTTTACAAACAGATTACTTTTCATTGAACAACCCATTTTGAATAATATTTAAATTTTAACAACCCATAGTACACTAATGACCTTATTTTTATTTTTTTGTTTTAATATTAATCGATATATTTTAAATAACTTTTAATAATGTAAAAGTATCACGGTGACGTATTACTGGTATACTTGTAAATATAGAGAACAATAATTAATGATAAACTCCAATGTATAATATAGTTTGACTAAAAATACTGTATTATATTTATTTAAATTTATACTTTTATGATTTGTTTTATTTTTTAATGTATTTATAAATATATTAGATATATTAATTAAATTGATAAAAATATTGGAAAAATAATAAATATTAAAAAAATATTAATCTTTTTACGTAACAAATTTTTATTAATTATAATTTATGCTTGCAATTCTAATAAAAATTGTCCTTTATACCCTATTAGATAATTTACTTATTAGTTGACTTGTGTGTTGCGACACAGCTTCACCAGTTACTAGTGAAAAAAAGGTATGATACTCGTGAGACATTATGAAACTTGAACAGCATTAGATAAATACTTATTTTTCTAACTTTAAGTTGTCAATGTTTAAATGTCAAATAAAATAAAATTTATACAATTTTAAGTAATAAATTTACATATTAAAGTTTCAGTAAATCATTCTAGTAGATTCAAATTTACAGTGACTATTGAATTAAATTAAATATGCAAGATTTTTTAACTAGTTATTATAACTTGTCAATTTAAATAATAATTAAGCACAAACAAAATATAATATATTTCATTTAAGTTAAAAATATTTTTTAGATGTGGACGGAATTAGAAGAAAAGCGTTTTTCTAATTTAAAACCTTTAGAAGCTGGTGGTTTAACCTTATCTATTAGTTCTAGTGGTGATAATCAAAACTATGCTCTTGAACTTGCTGATTGGAAAGCAAAGCTTCGAAAACTTAGACATGAATTGTAAATATTCATAAAATAAGAAAAATTAGTAACAAAAATTAAATTATATTCTTAATTTTCTTGTAGAGAAGAAAAAACTGAAGCATTAGCTGAAGCTAAGGAAGAACTTGAACAAACTAATCTCACAGCAGTTAAATTAAAAGAAGAGGTACATTACTATTTAAATATACAAATATATTTTTTATTTTTTATTTTTTGCGATAATTATCAGGATATATCTTTTTCAATTATTTCAGCTTCAACAAATCAAAGTAGATGCTAGATCAGCAAAAGCATATAGAGATGAAGTAGATGCTTTACGAGAAAAAGCATCTAATTATGAACACCTGGAAATAGAAATAAAAAAATACAAAGAAAAATTAGGAGATTTAGATTATTATAAATCTAGAGAAGAAGAGCTCACTCAAAATAATTTACTTCTCCAAGAAACAAGAGAAACCCTTGAAGAACAACTTGTTAAATTTCGAAGACGAGCTTCTCAATTACAAGAAATGGAATCACAATTGTTACACTTCAAACAAAATATTAATACTATGACGTTAGAACGAGATGCACACTTAAGAAAAATTGATGAACTTATTAATGAAAATGCACAGCTTGATTTACTTAATAAATCTTTTCAATGCAATGAAAGTTTTAACAAAGAAATTGACAATGATAGCTATTTTGATCATGTTGGTAAGTATTATACCTTATACAGAATAATGATGTATGATTATTTAAATAGAAATATTTAATTGAATTAAAAAAAAATTTTTTTAAAGAAAAAACTATGAAGTTTAAGTTGAATACTAGGATTAGTGTGACATTAATCAAAATTTAGAATTTTAAAAATGATGGTAATTGTGTTAAAATATTTATTAACAAAACTTAAGTTAAAAGATAAAAAAAAAATAAAAATCAAAAACATAGTTTTCATTTAAAAATTAAATATATTTGAGAGTTTCTACCTTGTGTTTAAAAAAAAATTACAACACATGTTTATATTAATAACTTACCATGAAATATATTTTATAATATTGAGTTAAACACATTTTTGTATTTAATACAATATCCGTGTATTTTAGGTTCAAAAGATAATAGCTTGTGTGAACAACTAAGTACTAGTGCTCAATCACATGCATTAAGACTTGAATTGGAAAATAAAAAACTTACATCAACTATAGAATGCTTACAAGATAATATTAGACATCAAAATAATGAAATAATATTAGAACTAGAAAAAGATAAGAAGTTACTTTCATTGCAGGTAAAATGATAAAAAAGAATGATTAATCAAATGATATTTAAGTAATTTGTAAAATATTTAAAACTATTAAAATATATGATTACAATAAACAACATATCTAACCATTTATGCACAGAGATAAAAGTTTATCTAATTCCTATTTGAAACTAAAATAAGTTATAATTATGAACTATTTAGTTAATTTTATTTTTTTTCATTATTTTATTGTGGTAATTTAAATTTTAAATGCAATTTGTTTTAAAAAAAATTGTTTCAAAATTGTAATAATACTGATCTCTAATACTTAATTACATTAAATAACTAATATATGAGCTTATATACTTATTTCCATAGCTGGAAGAAACAGAAAGTAATAAAAATCGTATACATCAGCACTGTAAATCAGTTGAAAATGATCTTTCTAATTTAAAGAATGAATATAAAAAATTACTTGAAACAAATGAGTTATTAAAAATAAAAATTGAGGTGAGTTTATATAAATGTATATAAAAAAAATGTTATTAAATAATTATTATGTTGTGTTATAGATTAAAGCTGAAGAATTTGAAAGTTTGAAAAGAGAAAATAAAAGATTGGAAAAAGAAATCAAAGAAAACAGTTCACTACATTCTAATGAAAAATCTGATCTTGTTCAAGGTTTGGAGTTGAAAAATAATAATTTAGAAAAAGATATATCAAAATTAAAAGGAACACTAGATGTAAGTATACTTCATTTTTTAACATCAATATTTTATTTCCTTTTTATTTTTCAAAATTGTCATGATATTTAATTTTTAAATTATAATTCATCGACTTTGTGATTAGTGATTGAGGTTACTATTTATATATATATTTTTTTATTTTCCCTTTTTGAGATTAAAATTTAAAACTCATTTATTATTATCATTATACAATTATTATTATTATAAATTATTTGTAAGCACTCAGACATTTTCAAGAAAAAAGTTATGAGGTATTACATAACTAAAATTATTAATTTATAGAAACAATTATTATTTAGAATAAAGATGAGTATTATGCAATCTAAATGTTCAATTTCGATAGTTATTTCTTTTGTATGAAATTTTATATTAAACAGGAAGTTGTCCTTCAAATACATGTAGACATATTTTTTTAATTTCTTGGTTGTTTTCAAGAACAATGTAAAATGAGTGAAAGAATTAACAAAAACAATATTAGAATGCACATATTTTTATAAATCTTGATCCTTTTTAGGTATATTGAAATTTGTTTTGAATCAAACTTAAAATTGAATTATTAGTCATAATTTTAAAGTTAGACATTTAAATACTACATACTAATTTTATTGTCTACAAAATATTTACTGTTACTTCAAATATTTGATTAACCACATTTTTATACTATATTTTAGAAAAAATTAGAAGAAATAGATAACTTATTAAGTGAAATTGATATGTTAAAAAAAGAAAAAGAAGTGTTAAATAAAAATGTAGAAGATTACGACAAGCAAATACACCGTTTACGTGCTATTGAAAATGAATTTCATGATTTGAAAAGCAAATATACTGTTGAAGTTGCAGCTACCAAAGCTGTTCAAGATGATTTAGTATCAGAAAAACGTAAATCTCAACAAATTATTGAAAACTTAGATAAATTAGGTTTAGCATTGGATCAGTTGGCTGCACCAGAAAATGTTTTAGATCAGTAAGGAAAATATTATTTTATACTATACTCTTAATTGAAAATATTTTTCAATTTAAAAAATTTTATGGGTGGTAGATTAAAAATTAAAAATGTACAAGCAGTACAGTTAGCTGCTTTAAGAAAAAGTACACATTTGTAAGAATGAAATACATTTTGATTACACGATTTAATTTTGTTTAATATTAATAATTTATAAAACTGAATTATCCAAAACTTTCATAATAGAAATTATTTTGAGTATATTAAATAAATCTCATTTATGTTTAATTATTCACCTTAAAATAATTTCACAGAATTGTTTCAAGCCCTGAGGTAGTAAAAGCTGTAAGGGAGAAAATCACTAAAGATACTAATATGTGTCATGAATTAAAAACTGTTAATGTTGCTCAAATGGAAGTTGATTTAACAACTTTAAAATCCAAAGTTCATTCTTTGAATAGTCAACATACTGCATTACAATTAGCTAACACTCAGTTAGCTGCAGAAAAAGAAGAGGTAATTAAATATTTAAATTTATATTTAAAAAAAAATAATGATAATGTTTAATTAATTTTATTAGACACAAAAAGAATTGGATTCAACCAACGCAGCTTTTTCTAAACTTCAAATACTTCACAATCAATTAACACTTGAATATGAAGAACAATTAAAACAGAAAGATTCCTTAAAAAATGATCTCAAAGAAGCTAGATTTTCTCTTAAAGAAAAATTAACACAGTTGAAAAGTGTTGAAACCAAGCTTAAACGTGAAAATGAACAATTAAAAGCAGAATTGATGACAGTTAAACATTTACCTGCTGAACATGCTAAATTAAAAGTAAGGAATTTCATTTTATAGTATAAATTAACAATTTTTGATTCTTTTTTTTGTTAGGATGATTTTAGAGCATTATTTACAGCAAATGAAAAACTTAAAGCTGACCTTAGAAATGGATTGGATGCTAAAGAATTAGTCGAAGTACATGAAAAAGAATTGGAATCTCTTAAATCCAAATTAACAGATTCCAATGCTCGCTATATGGTAATCAATTACTTCTTCCCAACACTGTTATTGACAGACAATTATTAAATTTAAATTTATTTTGTATTTAGGTACTTCAACAAATGACTAGTACTTTTGTGGAAGATAGAAGATCGTTAATGGAACATGTTACAATGTTAATTACACAATATCATGAGCTTTTAACTCAATCACTAGAAGATAAAGAACAATATCATTTAGAAGAAAAAAATAATACGTTTGTTAAAAATTTTTAAACATAATTCATTATAATTTATTTATATTTAAACTTTATTTATAGTGATAAATTGAATCATTTATCTCGTCAGAAAGAAAAACTTGAAGAAAAAATAATGGATCATTATAGGAAACTCAATAGTTGCAGCATAACAAAGAAGTAATTAAAATATTAATTTACAACAATTTATCATTAAAAATAATAATTATATGTTTATAATTATTAATTAACTGATAAGTTGATTTTAAAATATTGAATGTGATCAATATTAAATAAGCTAATGAATTGTTAGACTTTATTTTTTTAAATTAATTAATTTTTATATATTTAGAAAAACCTTTGGTTCTACTTGGATAAGAAAAGTAAAAAAAGCTGGTACAGAGTTAATGAATAAGGTAAATAATGTGTACTTATTAAAATAAATTAAAATAAAATATATTGTTACTCGTTAAATAAAGGTAATCCTTCTGTAATTAAAAGTATATATTTATACAAAAGTAATCTCAGGAAGAGGCTTCAGCACATGGCAACAGCAATTGGTATAGCTAATGCTAATTGAGTGTCGCTCTCACAGAGTATCACATTATTATTCTAATCACCATGTAGTGTTTTGTGAAAAGCATTTTATTAAAATAAGTACAATTAAGCAGTTAATTCCAAAAATAAATGAAAACCAATTTATGACCAAACCAGAAGAAAATAGATTATTCCACCTGAGGTCTCTACGCATGACTCATATTATACATTACAAATTAAAGCAAATGATTTTTTGATAAAAGTATTTAAAACATTAACTTTTTTGAAATTAAAGTTTTTCTTTAATGCTTTTTAGAGTCGTATGTCTTGGCATGAAGATATGGCTAGAAGAGGGATTGATTCAGATACAAGTTTAGATTTAGATGACAACCAATCAAATCATCATCAAGGTGAAATTTATTTAACTTGATTGTCTTTTAAGTACAAATTATTAATAGGATAAAAATGTTTTGTGGTTTAGAATATTCCGACAATTTAAGCAGTTTAGGAACTCCAGGAACACGTCAAACTCTTTATTTATCTGGTGAAGAAAATGTAAGTTTATACATTTATTTTATTTTATTTTCAGATTTTTACTTTCATACATAATACATCTCTTGTCTCATTATAATATTGTCTGTGCTCAAACAATTAATGTTTAGTCTGTTCATTTATTTTTATTTCCAACCCTAGCAAATATGATCAGTTATATTATGTTTGGGTTTGTGTACTATATTTTGCTCGCATCAAAAGTATTTTCAAGTGTCTCAATACAATCACTAGTTCTGCTAAGAGAGTATTAAAAATTAGAAATCTAATAGCATTGAATATTGTTTGATTCTTAGAATTTATATTACTTAGTACCTTGTTTTAATAACTAATGTATAGTAAAAATTTTACTTGTTTTAGTTTATTAAAAATTTCAAACTCGTCTTAGGAAAAATAAGTTTCTGAGATATAACATAATATAACATTATAAATAATAAATATTAATAAAAGCTTAAAGGTATTAATTATTTCGTGCAATTACAATTGTTTTTACAAAATAAATAAAAAACTGTTGCATTTTTAGATTTTATTAAATGTGTTCATAATAACAAGTAAATAATATTTTATGAAAATAAATGTTATTTTAATACTTTTTTTATTTCTTTTGCTGAAGGAAGTTGATGAAGGATCCATTATAGCTAGCCATTCATTATCAAATTCACCACTTACTGCTTCATATCGTAATGAACACAAGTAATAAAAAAAATGTTATTTCTATGTTAAAAATTTCATTTAATTTTTTAATTTTAGACTTAACAATATTATTTTTAGGTTACCACTCATTACTAATGATGAAATTAAGGATAGTAGTAACAATTCAACAGTGCGGTCTAGTAAAGCACTTCTAACAAAAGAAGATACAAACTGGTATGAATATGGATGTGTTTAATATAACTTAAAATTGTTGTATTTATATTTTCTTGACTGTTAAAAGTTTTTTTAGTGTGGAATTTTTTTTAACTATTATGTTCCTGTTTTTATCTAATCGCACACTTTTTCTTCTAATATATAAAACATTTCATAACTTTTTTTTTTTACATATTTATGTTTTATTTTAATTCTAAATACTTTTGTGCATAATTTTCATTTATATATTAATTTTACAAATACCGTTTTTATTTGATGTTATTTTTACTAGAATAATTTGTATTAGGGCTAAATACTAATTAAATATGTTAAGTTTATACTTTACTACTAAAATTTAGTGAGATTTTAAAAATAACATATCACAACCTAGTGGTATAAAATATCGAATTAATTACCTGATTCTTGCCAATGTTTACTTCCAAAGGGATTCCCATAAAACAGTAATGACGAATTAAATATTGTGATATTTGTTACTACACTTTTGGTGGTTAGAAAATTTATATAAATGCAATCAAAAACCACATAAATAATGTATATTTTAATTTAATAAAAAGGATGTATACTTAATATTTTTTTAATATGAAATATATGTTTTTATAATAAATGGAATGATTTATATTTAATATAAAACTTGTTTTATTTACATGTATAAAATGCAACAATGTTTCTAATATCCAGTGTATGTGCCGGCACCTTTCTCAATATTGAACAAACCTACTTACTACAATAGATGCACTAACTGCAGTTTTTTGACTATAATATATGTCGTTCTTGGTACTGTCGATAGCAAACACAATGAATATGACCAACATTGTTACTAGTAGTACTCTTACAAGACATAATATGTGTATAATTTTACACTTTATGTAAATGCTTGAATTTTAAGCATTTAATGTATGTTTTACAATATACTACAATTATGATTCATAATATGGACAGTGAATAACTCGTCTATGTCAGTATTTTGAAAGTGACATAAAACCACATATTATAGACGTTTATTCATTGGTTAAGGAGTTTTTACAGTCTATAACTGAGTATTCTTTGGTTGAATTAAATTCATTCTTGATTTAACCACATTCTGTAGTGTATAATTCAACACTAGTTTAAAATATTAATGCATAAATGTATATTAATGTTTGAAAATTGAAATAGATTGAAATATAATATGAAAAAGCACTATGTATAAACAAATAATATTCTCAATTTTAAGTTTGATGAATGGAAATTTTTCATAAGATAATCATAGAATTTATCTAATAAAAATATAATATGATAAAGCTTTATTTTTTTTGTTAAAAACAATTTTATTTAGATAAAAAGTAGTATAATATTTAAAAATTTTAACTCATTTTCAAAACAATACTTATAAAGGATGACCTTGTACCATCACACTTGTTCCTGGCAAAGTATTTGTCATTAAACGACTCACAAAACTCTAAAAAAATTTAAAAAATGTATTAAAATATTACAATAAAAATTGAATACATACTTTTTGGTCATTTTCAGTAGCATAAGCAATACACATTGATTTGGTAGTGTGTGCGCTCAAAATTTCACAACAGTCTTTATTTTTATATAATACCAGCGCACCTGCAAGTTTTTCATTATAATTTCTTAATATCGGCGAATCTGGAAAAATAAAATCAGAACATTAAGGAACAAAGATCTCAAACAAAATATTTAGTTATAACATGTAACTAACGTAAAAAATCATCATTAAAACATTTAGTAATTGCGATTGTAGGGCAGGAAGAATTAAAAAGATGTCTTGACATTTCTTTAGCTAGACTTGTCTTAATCAAATGTTCACCACAGCCAGATGTTGTTACTGCTATTGAAATGTCATCAGACATTTGGGCCCAACATCCTGATCCTAATAAAGCAGCCTAAAAAATGACATATTACATAATATAATATATTTTAAGTGTTTTTTTTACAAACTAAATTAGTTATATAATATATAGTATGGCAAGGGCAAAAAGTGTACTATTTCAGTTGCATACATGCAACTAAAATTTTGTTTTTCTGCACAAACGAACTATATAGACTATTTTTGTCATTTTTCTGTAAAGTAGCTATAGGAACTAACAACTACATAAAACACAAAAATATACTGTGATATGTCCATAAACATAAATCTGATTTAGACAGTATCCTTTCTGACCATCAAAGTGGTCAGAAAACATATAATTTATTGTAATAGCTAATAGTTACATACTTCAACAATTAATTTTCTTTGAAATGCATCATAGTATCTAAAACTGTTTATAAATTGTTTTTGTTGCATATTATAAGTTTGAATATTTAAATTTTAAATTTCAAAATTTGAAACCCAAATAATCAAAAAATATTTATGTGGTTTTATACTGAACTTATAGTCCTGTAAAAAATATTTATATGAAATTTGTTTTAACATTTTCAAAGTATAGAAACAAAAAATTTTCATATTAAAAAAAAAAATAAAACAATTTACAATTTTTTGTGAATATTAAAACATTTGTCAATATTGAACTTTAAACTGATGATAAATAAAATAAAAATATTAAGTGATAAGTCATAATTTCAGAACATATTTAATCCAATATAATCTACATTGGGTTTAGCTAAAAAATACAAAATAATCAACAAATTATTGTTAAAATAAAAATATTAATACAATTTACTTGTCCAACGCGACCATCTTGTTTCAATAAAATACCACCGCTAGAAGACGATGCAGCAACATTTCCAAACTTATCCATACCAACACAACCTACAGTATCTAATCTAGGGTTTATAGCCTAAAAAACATAATACTACTATTGTTAAAAAAAAAAAAAAAAAAATAATGGTATATATATTTTAAAGTTACTTGACAATTACTGTACTTTGGATTTATAACTTTATATTTATTGCGAACAAAATCTTTTTTTGATTTTTCTAAAAAAATAAAACAATATAGTAATATCTTATTAATACAAAACAATAAAAATAGTTGAACAAATTAGTATACCTGAAATTAAATGAGATGGGTCAACAGCTACAATATTGTTTGCTAATGCATATTCATGAGCTCCAAGACCGACAAGTAAACTTTATTAAGAAAAATAATTTTTAATAGAACTAAATAATAAAATGTTTATCTAGACAAATATTAGAAATAAAGAACATTTCACAATTTGAATTTAAAACATTATTCATTGATATTGATAAATTGTAAAATATTCATAGTCTTTAAATAAGTACATTATTTATGACCGATTTCCAAAAGACACATTTATATACATTTAATTATCCAAATATTAAGTGCTTTGTAATTTCTACTTTTGAAAAATTAGATTGAATTAATAAAAACTAACATTATTTCTATTAAAAGATTAATAGTTTACTTAGTTGAAATTCCTATATTAATTTGAATTAAACTTTAAACAACATTTCTTATACTATTTTTTCATCGAGAACTATAGTTGTAGTATTTTAATAAACATAAATGTGTTAGTTTAAGTGAAAATTAAATATCTACTGTTCCTTATGATAGAAATTAACTGTATTTTTTAAAATTTAAATTAGTTAAACCTAAGAAAATAAGATACTACTATAATTAAGGTTATTTACCATGGAGGAATTCTTCCAAATGACATTTTTAAATTTTGATTTTCACAAATAAGTTTGGCAAGAGAAATTGGATTTTTTATACCAGAAACAGCACCAACACCTCCATAATGCATATTTGATCCATCTATAATACTTGCATCACATTCCACAGCACCATTCCATGTTAAATTAGACCCATAACCAGCATTAGTTAGTGGAGAATCTTCTAAAACCATAGTTGCTAATGCAACTGCATCTAGTGCCGATCCATTATTTTTTAAAACCTCTAATCCCTAAAAAAAATAATAATTTTTTATAAACTGATTTAAATTATCTATTAATAGTAACTAACTTTTTTACAAGCTTTCATACATAGTTTTTTATGATATGCTTCTTTGGTTGGTTTTTGGTATCCTGCACCTAATTAAAATTAGTTATTAATCAATTTGGTTAAATATGACACATTTAGTAAAAATATGTTTTTAAATTCATATTATATGTATAACAATGTATACAACATTTAGCGATAAGTTTCCGAAATTCAAAACTAACATTACTATTTTACTCGGTCGCGTATTTAGTATTTACAATATCTTACCTGCATGAACAGCAATTATACATTCCATGCTATTTATTTGAAAATTTTAAATTATTAAACTCAACATAACTTATGAATTTGGATCAATATTATTTCAAAAATTTGAATAACTCATACTATTAAAATAGTATCTAATAGGTACTTTAAATGCTAATTTTCTACGTGGTCCAAACTTCAAGACGTAATAATAACAATTAAACATAAAATTTACAAAATAAACGCATAATAAAATATATTGGATGAAGTCACTTTTTATTAACGGCGTACAGACATTACTGACTATCAATTGGGTATTGTTGTTTTATTATTATCACAATAATATTATGTTATTATTGCTTTGTGTTATCACTTACCATTCTGTGATAATACCACGAGGACAACTATTTTATTATTATTGAATATTGATTGACCATTAGGCATTGACCAGCCTTTTTGAAGTGTTTATTATATGCTTTTGTTTATTTTTTTCCGTTTTCAATTAACCTTAAGAGTAAAGATCGTCGGAAAGTCTGTTTAATCATTACAATATACTATTGAGTATCGAGTTGTCGATAATTAGCGTCGCTTATTTCAACTTTGAAATTATATTAATTGGTATAAAACGTGGTTTTTCCTCCTCCCAATTGAATCATTACTCAATAATCATTGTTATACATACTACCAGTCCCGTCAGGTGGGCTTTGGCTAATTAATCTGATTCATTATTTCAATAAATCATCGGTTATCGGCGGGTGTAGGTTTTACGTTCATAGCTCCGAATCTTGTACAGTACCTCTTCTTTTAGACCCGATGCGGAACATCCCCCATCATGTTAGAGTTTAGATACATCCAAAATCCTTACTATTTAGCATCTATGTGAGCAAATAGTAATTTCCGGGTTTGGGTTTTACACACCCGGCGATTGACTCTTCCCGGATCGTTTCGTTCTAACATGAAATGTTCTCCATAATTAGGTTAACATTAGGACCTCTCATAATCATGAAGATCTCGACGCATCACAATAGTTTTCATTTTTTTCCTGTACATTTTTTGAAATATATATAATTAAATTTCTAGACCATAAGTATATTTGCGCCTTTAGATGCCAACTATAATTATTTACAACATCACAAAATATACAAATATTTTGATTATTGAAATACATACTTCAAAGTTCCAAGCGGACAAGCAGAGTTGAAATCACAGTCGAAGACATGAAACCTCTTTAACTTGTCACATTTTAGATGATCTGAGTATCTGACCCCTTTGACCATAAATGTTAATTATTATAATATAAACATAACTAATTTGGGATTTTTATCCATGAAAAAAAATTTAAATATAAGTTGCAGTTTTTTAAAATTTTATTATATATAAATTAAAATGTAGAATTTAATGAAAATACATTACATGGTTTAATAGAAAGAAATAAAAGAAAGTTATAAAACTAAAATCTTTTGAAATTTTTTACAATTTAAATTTAATAATATTATACAGCACATCCAACAAACAAATTACATTTAGTAAAATACCCAATCAAACAATATTATATATATATATATAAATTCAACATAACAGTTTTTTATTAAAAATAATATTTAAATGACTCAAATTTAACGATATACACATAATACTTAATATACCATATCAAATGGTAAATGTTTGATTAGTTTTTTTAACAAAAAATAAATGAACAATTATTTAATTGCCATAAATGAAAATAAAAAATAAAAACAAATTAAAAATTCCTATTTAGGTAACTAACGTTTTTGAAAAAGGAGGATTACATTAATATTTCTTGTCAAAAGATTAACAAAATAATACTAGATATTTGACTTCTTGACATTAAGGTTCAGCTGCTAGCCATTTGTTTTTTGTTTGATTAGCTTCAGTTATAAAATTTACATTGGCATAGTCATGGCTATCTTTATTATCAGTGGCAATAGACACTAGTTGTAGGTTGTCCATGGGCTGGTAAAAAGCAGATGCAGACTCTATGTCAATAACAACATTGGCTAATGATGGCTTGAAAAGATCACCATCTGTATCAACTGGTGCTGTATAGTTTTCTCCTTGATCTGACACCAAATCAGACATATTGCTTACATTAAACCCACCAATATGTATGTATTCACGATCACACTCATCCTTGACAACCTGTGTTTGTGTATATTCTTCTTTGTTAATTTCATCTATATCAATACTCAACGAATCTTCATCGATATCTTCAGAGTCTTCTGATAACGCCATATTATAATCAGGATCCACAAAATCAATGGGTTCCTTTTTATTATTGATAATATTTATTTTGCTACTAACATTGGGGTCAGGAATCACTGGATTACTTATATTTGGCAGAGATGGCTTTAAAAAAATAAAATCAAAGCAATGTACTTAATAGCTTAAAAAGAACCCAAAAATAATTTTTTGTATTAAATACTCTGTCTTCAACTTACTTTGTTAGGATGATGAGTTGTGCACAACATACCATTACCCAGCGGATCTTTAAATATGTTTCCTTTTACATGCATAGCGCAAAACGATTCCACACAAAATTTACATTTGGCTACTACTTTACGTTTGTTGCATAAAGAACAGAAATGAGAGGGGCAAATGAATCCGGCTAGAATTTAAAACAGGTAAAAATTATTTATTAAATATTTTTCATTTAAATTTAATATATCATATTTTTTAGGCTAATTTACTCACATTTCACAATTCTAGTTTTGTTAATACAACTGAGATGAAAGACTCTGGGGCACTTTTTGTTTTTGCACGCTAGTTCTGTATGACCTTTCCCACAAATCAAACAAGAATTGTTTTTGAAATATGCTTTGGACTGTAAGAAGTCTTGGTTTATTTTAGATTTTTTTAAAACAGCAGTTTTTTTCAATACAATTTTTCCACTGTTTTTTATGGTTTTTGTTATATTTGATAAATTCTTTTTTTCTTTGTTGACTTTTATACTTGGTAAAATAGGCTGTACTTTTGTCTCTTTATTCATATTCTAGAAAAACATATTTTATTAGTTTTACCTTTTATTTATATGTAAAATTAATATATAAGTTTAATGTTTTAGACAATTCAGTAATTCCTCTTCGTAATCTGGACTTGGAATAGTAGAAAAATATGTTTTTTAAATTATTAATAATTTATTATAGATACTTTATTACACTCACTTTAGATAGAAATAAATGTCTGCTTTTTGCTAATCTAGTTAAATTGTTTCGAGATTTTTCTTGAGTTTTAATAGATTTGTCAGATTTCATATCATTAGCCTAATAAACAAAAATTAATTAAATAAATATAAGTCAAATATTAGAAAAAATAAATTTATGCTATAAAACAATTAAGAGTTTTTTTTACATATTATGCAACTTCAATTGTTATAAAAATTATAAATATTGATTATTCTTATGTTTTTTAATACTTCTAAGATTCTTTAGTGTTAATAAGGACAAAGGCAATTTTCTTGTAATTCTTGTACTTTTCATAATCTTAATATTTATTAAACTTTTACTATGATCCTAATATTGTTATTAACATATATTTAGCACTAATGTTAGTCAAAGTATAAACTTCAACTTACTTTTTTTTTCAGATGTACACACAGTTGTAGCTGATGATAATTTGGTTAAGATGGGTGATGGCAGAAGTAACGCATTGGATTTAATCACATTCTTCTAAAATATAAATATTTTATAAACTAGTTGATTCAAATCTAGAAACTTAACTCACCGATTATAAAATACAATACTTGATAAATAAAAATAATTACATTTTCTCTTAAATATATCGGTTATAAGTTATTTTTAATTTGTGTATGAGATTGAACAAAATAACATAAGACAAATATTTTAAGATGATAAAATGAAATAAATTTTCATAAAATGTATAGTTGATTAGTTGCCTACTTTTTTAAAACTGTCGAGTTGCTGTTCCTTTTTCATTACAACAGAATCGTCTGTACTCAGTATATCATCCTAAAACATGAAAATCACATATAACTCTGAAGCAATAATAGATTATAATTAAAATTAGTTTATATATATAGTTTTTAATTCTGTACATAGTTCATATACCTTTTAATAATAAAAGTGTATTATAATTAATGAAATATGTTTAAAATAAAATAAAAATATACAAATGAGAAACCAATTTCATCATTGCAACACTACCTTGTTTGAACATTACATTGTATGAACTTCATCATATTTTAACACAGATGAAGTTTTTGAATTATATATTTGTATAGAGTATACAACTATATAATTATGTTAAATCATGACTAATTTGTATTTGTAAAAATAAATTGTTAAATACAAAAATTAAAATTTTTAATCCATTTAAACAAAAATACCAAACATATAGTTTGTAATAAATTAATTCAAATTAAGAGAGATTTATATTATACACTAAATCAAATAAAAAAGATAAATGTTTGGTAAGATAAAAAAATCAGTATAAAATATAAACAATGGTTTAGTTATGTTATGTCATAGTTTAACAATAATCAATTATAAAGTTATATCAGTACATAGTATAAATTTATTAAAGTAATTAACAATACTTATATTTTGTTTGTCCAAATTAAATCATATAAAAGTATTTACTAAACATTTTACATAAATTACAAAATATTATGACGGTTATTAATTAAAAATCTAACAGTGCAAAATAAAATTATTTATTGTATAATGTCATACTTTTATCAATAGTTTTCTCGAAGAAAGAGTAGACAAACCATTCCTTAGCTTTCTTTTTGAATTAACATTTCCTTCCGATTCCGTAGAATCATCAACTGTAATGTCATCCTAAAATTAATAAATACAATTTATTTACAAACAGAAAAATATTATTTTTTCATAAATGACAACTTAGCATTTATAAAATACACATTACCAGACAGGCACCTTAAATCCATAAGTATTCTACCCATCACTAATATTAATTTAGAATATAATTTGAAAAAAAAGTAGAAATAAGTGGGAAATATTAAGAAATAAAACAACATTCAATTTCTAAAACAAATAATTCTTAAGAAAAAAAATTTTTATTGTCATATTATTTTGAAATATTATTGGAATCAAAAAGATTGATTATATTTAATAATACTGATAATAAAATTTATAAAATAGATTCAGAAATAAAAACTAAAAATCAAAATATACAAAATAAATTTTTGAATATGTAAAAGAATTGCAGGATTTATAGAAATAAAATGACATACGGTATATATCATAAAAAATGGAGAAATTGTAGTTAATTAGCTGTTTGGATGATACATTTAATGGTAAGAAAATATTATATTTAATTACATCAAACACTTAAAATTCTCTCTAAAAATTGAGATAAAAAATAAAAAATAAATGTTGTTGTATATGTTATTTAAACTAAATAATTAATATAAGTAATTTCATTGTGATACTTATAATAAAATATGTGTTAAAATACATGTTGGTTTATCCTTGTGATAATTCATGTGTTATGTTATAAGATATAATACTTTCACTACCTACCAAACTTTCACTTTAGCACTAGTTTTTTTTTTTTTTACCAAAGAATTTGATAACAACTATAGAGGCAAAGCATACTATTTAAAAACTAATTTTGAATACTTAAAAATGTTTTCTTTATTATACAGTATTTCAGTTTTAAATTACAAAATAAGTCGTACTAGAATAGGTAAGACAATAATCACATGTACCAATGCAATTTACTTCATAAATATTAACTATCTAATTTATAAACCAGAGTCAAAAATACAATTTACACTTACCCATATATTTATGTAATACTCGTACAGAAAATAATAGGATTATAAGAGCTCCCTTTAGGTAAAAAAAAAAAGTAATAAAACAATTATCTGTTCAAATAAATACTAATACCTATTTAAAAAAAAAAGATTAAACAAAAAAATAATAACAATCAACATTAAAAATCTGTACTCACACCTCAAAAATATTAATTAACTGTTCATCATAATTGATTTTATTATTTTGTTTTAATAATGATATTAATATTGTTAAAATTTAACTATACACGACAAACACATCATTTATTTATTATAAAAAGTCAATTAAAATAACACTTACATAAAAAAAAAAAAACTTATACATATTTTAATTTTGAGGAATTACAAGTTACAATTATTATTGTTAGTATTAGTATATTGGAATACAATTAAAAATAATAAATAAGTAAATAGGAATTTTAAATAAGTATAAATAATGATTGAAAATTGAAAAATTGAAGAAAGCATAAAAATAGATTTTCTGAAATATAACTATTATAACAGAAACATTTGTAGATTGACCATACAATAAATGTATAGTTAGTGGCCTGGTGTGGCATAATGGTTGGCCTTAGCCAGCTATGTGTTCTGAGTTCAAGTATTGGCCAGCGTCACTAGTTCTTGGATGGGAGACCACCTGAGTTCTTAGTGACGCATCCATAGCACACACACACACACACACACACACATGTTCCAACCCTACTAACCAAACCTTACACAAAAAAACCTACTGTTCCTATGCACAGCTAATGGACTTAGTTGCAAGCTTAAGTAAGATTAAAAAAAAAAAAAA